AATGATCTGTTTGGAGTGCAACTGCAGCCTATCCCCCAATTTTTCTCCGTTTCTGGACAAGACTCTGAGGAGGAAGAGAAAAACAATATTTTGTCTAAATCTTCTGTCTTTTTTGTCTATTTTTAATGATTAATAATCTGGCCAGATTTCAATTTAATGCGTCACTGAAATTTGGAAATATTTTGTCGTCAAGGAGTATCGTTTCTGTGCAAAAGTGAGGCAAATGATCTGTTTGGAGTGCAACTGCAGCCTATCCCCCAATTTGTCTCCGTTTTTGCACAAGACACTGTTGAGGAAGAGAAAAACAATATTTTGTCTTAGTCTTCTGTCTTTTCTATCTATTTTTAATGATTAATAATCTGGCCAGAATTCAATTTAATGCGTCACTGTATTTTGGAGATATTTTGTCGTCCAGGACTATCGTTTCTGTGCAAAAGTGAGGCAAATGATCTGTTTGGACTGCAATTGCAGCCTATCCGCCAAATGTTCACCGTTTTTGCACAAGACACTGTTGAGGAAGAGAAAAACAATATTTTGTTCAAATCTTCTGTCTTTTTTGTCTATTTTTAATGATTAATAATCTGGCCAGATTTCAATTTAATGCGTCACTGAAATTTGGAAATATTTTGTCGTCAAGGAGTATCGTTTCTGTGCAAAAGTGAGGCAAATGATCTGTTTGGAGTGCAACTGCAGCCTATCCCCCAATTTTTCTCCGTTTCTGGACAAGACTCTGAGGAGGAAGAGAAAAACAATATTTTGTCTAAATCTTCTGTCTTTTTTGTCTATTTTTAATGATTAATAATCTGGCCAGATTTCAATTTAATGCGTCACTGAAATTTGGAAATATTTTGTCGTCAAGGAGTATCGTTTCTGTGCAAAAGTGAGGCAAATGATCTGTTTGGAGTGCAACTGCAGCCTATCCCCCAATTTGTCTCCGTTTTTGCACAAGACACTGTTGAGGAAGAGAAAAACAATATTTTGTCTAAATCTTCTGTCTTTTTTGTGTATTTTTAATGATTAATAATCTGACCAGAATTCGATTTAATGCGTCACTGAATTTTGAAGATATTTTGTCGCCCAGGACTATACGTTTCTGTGCAAAAGTGAGGCAAATGATCTGTTTGGACTGCAATTGCAGCCTATCCGCCAAATGTTCACCGTTTTTGCACAAGACACTGTTGAGGAAGAGAAAAACAATATTTTGTTCAAATCTTCTGTCTTTTTTGTCTATTTTTAATGATTAATAATCTGGCCAGATTTCAATTTAATGCGTCACTGAATTTTGGAAATATTTTGTCGTCCAGGACTATCGTTTCTGTGCAAAAGTGAGGCAAATGATCTGTTTGGAGTGCAACTGCAGCCTATCCCCCAATTTGTCTCCGTTTTTGCACGAGACACTTTTGAGGAAGAGAAAAACAATATTTTGTCTAAATCTTCTGTCTTTTTTGTCTATTTTTAATGATTAATAATCGGGCCAGAATTCGATTTAATGCGTCACTGAAGTTTGGAGATATTTTGTCGTCTGAAACTATCGTTTCTGTGCAAAAGTGAGGCAAATGATCTGTTTGGAGTGCAACTGCAGCCTGTCCCCAAATTTTTCTCCGTTTCTGGACAAGACTCTGAGGAGGAAGAGAAAAACAATATTTTGTTCAAATCTTCTATCTTTTTTGTCTATTTTTAATGATTAATAATCTGGCCAGATTTCAATTTAATGCGTCACTGAAATTTGGAAAGATTTTTTCGTCCAGGACTATCGTTTCTGTGCAAAAGTGAGGCAAATGATCTGTTTGGAGTGCAACTGCAGCCTATCCCCCAATTTTTCTCCGTTTCTGGACAAGACTCTGATGAGGAAGAGAAAAACAATATTTTGTCTAAATCTTCTGTCTTTTTTGTCTATTTTTAATGATTAATAATCTGGCTAGATTTCAATTTGATGCGTCACTGAATTTTGGAAATATTTTGTCGTCCAGGACTATCGTTTCTGTGCAAAAGTGAGGCAAATGATCTGTTTGGAGTGCAACTGCAGCCTATCCCCCAATTTTTCTCCGTTTCTGGACAAGACTCTGATGAGGAAGAGAAAAACAATATTTTGTCTAAATCTTCTGTCTTTTTTGTCTATTTTTAATGATTAATAATCTGACCAGATTTCAATTTGATGCGTCACTGAATTCTGGAAATATTTTGTCGTCCAGGACTATCGTTTCTGTGCAAAAGTGAGGCAAATGATCTGTTTGGAGTGCAACTGCAGCCTATCCCCCAATTTTTCTCCGTTTTTGCACAAGACACTGTTGAGGAAGAGAAAAACAATATTTTGTCTAAATCTTCTGTCTTTTTTGTCTATTTTTAATGATTCATAATCGGGCCAGAATTCAATTTAATGTGTCACTGAATTTTAGAGATATTTTGTCGTCCAGGACTATCGTTTCTGTGCAAAAGTGAGGCAAATGATCTGTTTGGACTGCAACTGCAGCCTATCCCCCAATTTGTCTCCGTTTTTGCACAAGACACTGTTGAGGAAGAGAAAAACAATATTTTGTCTTAGTCTTCTGTCTTTTCTATCTATTTTTAATGATTAATAATCTGGCCAGAATTCAATTTAATGCGTCACTGAATTTTGGAGATATTTTGTCGTCCAGGACTATCGTTTCTGTGCAAAAGTGAGGCAAATGATCTGTTTGGACTGCAACTGCAGCCTATCCCCCATTTTTTTCCCCGTGTTTGCACAAGACAGTGTTGAGGAAGAGAAAAACAATATTTTGTCTAAATCTTCTGTCTTTTTTGTCTATTTTTAATGATTCATAATCGGGCCAGAATTCGATTTAATGCGTCAGTGAATTTTAGAGATATTTTGTCGTCCAGGACTATCGTTTCTGTGCAAAAGTGAGGCAAATGATCTGTTTGGACTGCAACTGCAGCCTATCCCCCAATTTTTCTCCGATTTTGCACAAGACACTGTTGAGGAAGAGAAAAACAATATTTTGTCTAAATCTTCTGTCTTTTTTGTCTATTTTTAATGATCAATAATCAGGCCAGAATTCGATTTAATGCATCACTGAATTTTGAAGATATTTTGTCGTCCAGGACTATCGTTTCTGTGCAAAAGTGAGGCAAATGATCTGTTTGGAGTGCAACTGCAGCTATTTTTAATGAATAATAATCTGGCAAAAATTTCAATTTAATGCGTCACTGAATTTTGAAATTTTGCCAAAATATGAATTTCTTGAATTGATATATCTGTCCCTCAATCGAGTTGTAATGTGTTGGAGGACCTCTTAGGAGTCTTCCAGGAAAGTTTTGAGCAATTTCATTTTTTTAAACCAAAATTGACAAATATTGCTAAAAAATTTTAAGGAAATTTGGCCAAAAATATGTATTTCTTTTAATTGATATATCTGTCCCTACATCGAGTTGGAATGAGTTCGAGGGTCCTTTAGAAGTCTTTCCAGGAAGTTAAGAGCAATTTCATTTTTTGACCAAAATTGACAAATATTGCAATTTACATTTTTGATGAAATTTGGCCAAAATATGAATTTCTTTTTATTGATATATCTGTCCCTCAATCGAGTTGGAATGTGTTCGAGGACCCCTTAGGAGTGTTCCAGGAAAGTTTAGAGCAATTTCGTTTTTTCTTTTGGCCAAAACTGACAAAAATTGCAAGGGTGAGCCTTACATTTTTGATGAATTTTGGCCAAAATATGATTTTTTTTAATTGATATATCTGTCCCTAAATTGATTTGGAATGTGCCTAGCCTTTCCCTGCCCAGCGCCCTAGGCCCTGTTTGCAGGGCGGGGTACGGGCTATCATAAAGGAGGCACATCTATCGTGAACAGCTCCCCTAGTGTAATGTGGTGTCCTGGTGTAATGTTATTTTCGTGTAAATTTAAGATTTTATTTTTAAATTTAAGGATGAGAACGTTCTGTTTACTTGATATATATATTTTAGGAAAAATACGTTTGATTACAGCCTGGTGAAGGACTGTTTGGAACAGCGAACGGAATAGGATAGAGGCCTGATTTACAGTGTTACCAAACAAATCTATAAGAACAAATTATCGTGTCCTTTTTTTTTTTAAACGTCGGTATTATTTTGAAATAGTAGTGATGGAGTTGAGAATCTGTATCTGTCCAAATAAAAACAGTAGAAGTCAGGCGCGGATCCACACGGGATTGAAACCTCCCACCCCACTGGACAGCCCCCCCCCCCACTCTGATGCACAAAACAGGCTAAAAATTATAAAATTATAAGATCGGATATAGAAATCTAACGGGCCTGAACCCCCCCCCCCCGCCCCCGCCAAAATTCAAAATAGCCTACATAATAATAGTGTTCATTGTTGCGTAACGATAAGTGTGTTTAGCACACGTACAGGCCAACGACTAACGAGGCTGCCGTATTATTTTCCAAACTTAAGGAAAACAGTTGACTCATGATACTGTTCGAAACATCTACTTCAATTCTGTCGGTTCCTCCATGAAGCCAAAACAGATGCACACAGCAATGTTCCAGGTTTGTCCAACTATATTACGACAAATTGTTTTTGAGGAGAATTCTAAGGAAGCCTGATGGCCGAGTGGTTAGATCCGTCGTCCTCGAATCGCGGAGCCCGGGATCGAATCCCGTCGGTGTCTTTTTTACTTTTCACCGCACGCGTTCTATTCAGTCATTATAAGACGTTTAATTTCCCGTCGTAGAATACCAACAGTACCTTAGCTTAATCGGTAAGCACTGCTGCTGGTACTGTCCGCGAGTTCCAGGTTGGCGCCTTCGTACAGGTTCAGGGCATGTGGTCCACTCGGAGGATCAAGGTTTAGGGGCCGCCCTGTTCCTCCCTTAGCTCTTTGCTTTTACATGGTGACTGGCCCTCCGGAGTTACAGTTCCGGAGATCCCGGAAGAGTCCTAAGGGATTGCGATGGGGCATCTATTATTTTAAAACTGCTTTAGTTTGATATTTACATCTGCTCAGCAGGCCTGCGGTAGTATTAAAAACAAAACAAAGGTCTATGAAATAAATCAATGTATTTTTAATAATTGACTATAATCAAAACAAAGTTTTGTGCGATCAAAATGACAATACCGTTATTAATGTTGCAATTTCCAAATGAAGTAATAAACGCAGTATGCAATATTGTACCGGGCAAAATTAAAAATGTACATTGTAGTATGTTAATGACACCTTTTAAAATAATAACATTTCTTTAATTGTGAACATTCCCCAAATGTATAGTAATTCCCAAAACAGGAAAAAACGCAAGAATTAATACAAAGCCCCTCACCCTTAAAACTGGACATACAAAATAGAAAAACAAAGTCAAGTGGAACACCCGAATGTACCATACTTTAGGATTGAATTCGAAAATTCCATAACATGTAGCTTTTACAGACTTGTGGGGGGGGGGGGGTGAGTTCATCAGCAAAAAAATTCTGCAATGTCGACAGATTTCTTTCTCTGGACATTTTGGCCTCCCAAAATCAATTGGGGGGGGGGGGGCTCGCATTCACTTTTTCAACGGCAGCTCATTCAAGTGTTGGACACGTACGTCAAAATTGACAGAATTGGCCTTGACGTAACCCTCGTCAGGGATTCTGTGGTTGCACATAGTCACAAAGTTGCACATAGTCACGAAGTTGCTGTAGGATGTCACCATCAGGACATCTGGCCTTCAGAGCGTGTAGAAGTGACGTCATATCTAACGGGCAGGTCTTATCTTCGGCTGTTGAAAAGACGAAACACAAAAATATTGGTTAAAAGTGGAAGTCTTCAAAATGACAGCCTTAATGAGAGGACTTTTATTAAAAAACAAGCAGTTTGCTTTTGTTTGTTTCAGATATAGGCTTATAAAACAACTGCAAACGATTTACCATACCTTGTTTGAGTATTCCATCTTGTGCTAGACGTTGAGCAATAGCCAACATGGCTTGTATCATAGCCTCTGTCACGCACACAAAGCCTGACTCCAATAAACCAGTCACACACTCAGCAACCGCTGTTGAATCTGTCAACTTGTGGGTCAGCAAGGTGCACACTATATGGCCCACGGAATCCCAACTCTCCTGCAAGAAATGGAAAGATTTTATTGAGATTTTTTCAAGACAATCAAAATACAAACATAATGGGGAAGATGCAAGGCATTTTATACGAACACTGAGGCACGGATTGTTATTTGCAGGGGTCATTGAAGGCACTGTATATGCAATTTTGGGGGGGCAACAAAATTTGTTCACAAAATATGTTCAGAAGTGTTATTCACTGGAAGTCTTTTATATCATGCATCTGTGTACACAATGGGCTGGATTTAGCCCATCCATTGGCATTTCGGGGTAATCCTATGGAATAGCACTGCTCAGCTCACAAGTGACAGTAAAAAAACAACTGGTGGCAACATTTCAAAAAAGCTATTCTTAGGAGTCTTTTCATGTATCTGTGTGTACACAATGGTCTGGATTTAGCCCATTTATTGCCATTACAGGGGTAATCCTATACAATAGCACTTCTCGGCTCACAAGTGACAGTAAAAAAAATGGTGGTAAAATTGATTCAAAACAACTATTCTTTGGGAAGTCTTATCATGTATCTGTGTACACAATGGGTCGGAGTTAGCCCATTCATCAGCGTTTTGGGGGTAATCCTATACAATAGCACTGCTCGGCTCACAAGTGACAGTAAAAATATTGGTGGCAAAAATTGATTCAAAATAACTATTCTTTGGAATTCTTATCATGTATCTGTGTACACAATGGGCTGGAGTTAGCCCATTCATTGGTACATGTATTACTTGGTAATCCTATACAATAGCACTGCTCGGCTCACAAGTGACAGTAAAATAATTGGTAGCAAAATTGATTCAAAATTACTTTTCTTTGGAAATCTTGTCATGTATCTGTGTACACAATGGGCCGGAGTTAGCCCATTCATTGGCATTATGGGGCAATCCTATACAATAGCACTGCCCGGCTTCCAAGCGACAAAAAAGAAAATTGGCGGCAAAATTGATTCCAAAAATGATTATTTGGAAGTCTTATCGTGCATCTGTGTACACAATGGGCTGGAGTAATCCTATACGATAGCACTGCTCGGCTCACAGGGGAGTGGGGGAGTCAGTCAGTAAGTTAGTCAGTCAGTGAGACAGGTACAAAGAGGATACTAGGCTGTCCCTTTCGGATCATAAACAATTTAATATATATGCTTGCTTGAGCACTGAAAGGTTATGTAAATCCTAACTTACCTTCTCATCTGCGCTCTGCTGCATCAGAAGCGCAGTCTTTGGACAGAGGAAAAGCTGAGCGGGTACTGGGCACTTGAAATGGTCTCTCCACAGCTCAACATATGCATCCAAGACACACACTCCTGTGGGTTCCTCATTACGGTCATTCCCAGACTGTGAACTGATGAATGAACTGTTCTCCCTCCCTGCTTCTGAGTTTCCTTTACAGTGTTCTCTGCTGACTGATCTGTTGACCGTAGTATGAGGAATACTCGTATTTGTACCATTTAGTGGTGGCGACCCGTCCAAGGGGCAGTTTGTCTTTACAGGGAATGTCAGTGCCTCATTAGATTTGGAATCTGAATCCTCAACAGTTAATCTCTCTTGTGTCCTTTCTTCAGACTTGACATGACTCGCTCGCCAAACGCCATTTAAGACTGGTCCGTCGCATTGCCTGTTCTCCTGAAGTGCGTTCCTTTGATCATTACAGCACGTAATTGGTGATGTGCCATTGGCCGCATGTACCTCGTTCCTACACTTGGACAAACAGGGATTTTCTGAAGCACTCGCATGTAGACATTTTGTGTCCAAGTCGGCAGAACTACCAGAGCTACCACTTTTCTTGTCCTCATCTAGTCTCAACAGAGATGTTTCCCTTTCCTCACTGTGCCTCCCATAATGATCCTTTGAGAGGGTTGTGTTTCCTACTTGAATGAGAGATCGGAGGGAGGCCGGTTTGAAGACAGCTAGTGTGCACACCAGCTCCATTGTTAGTTGCTGGATTGTCTGCCATGCAACGGGTGTCAGATCCTACAATAAGGTCAAGAGATAAATAAATAAATAATAATAGTGAGTATCATGTGATAACAATCAAAGATCAAATAATTTACGTAATTATTACCCTTACTCATGTACATATAAAGCACCACTTAGCCCATCTCAGCTCCTGGGACATGAGGAGCTACAGCCAGGGACGTAAGTGTACTCTGACTATTTTGCCCGAAATTTGAGGCATTGGCATGCGCTGACACCTAGGACTTTTTTATATTGGCGTTTCATTCCGGCGACATTCCGAAGTGGAAAACATTAAGACTGTCGGTAATAAAAAGCATTGCCCAGGCAAAGAAACACCTCTACTCCACCCGTGTTCAAAAAAACAATCAAACCCATCTGTGTGGTTCCGTCAAATCCGTGCCATTGCTGGGGATAATAAAGAACCCCTCCCCATCATGGTTCCTGGTGTGGGTCCGTGTGATGACTTCGCAGTAGCTAACGCCATCAACGACCATTTCACCTCCATAGCGACAGACATTGAAGCTCTGGACCTTAGCAAGTTGCCATCATACCTCCCCGCAGACAGACCATGTCCAACTGTATCTACATGGCAGGTAATGAAAGCCCTTGAGAAGGTGCGAAGAACTTCAGCTGGAGGACCAGACGAAATCTCTGCTCGCTTCATTCGTCTTTATTCGGTTGAACTAGCTTCTCCCCTCGCCCACATCATTAACACTTCTTTCCGGCAAGGTCGGGTTCCACATGACTGGAAACACGCCATTGTGGTACCAGTTCCAAAATGTAGCCCTCCAACGATTGACAAATTGAGGCCCATTTCCCTCACGAGTCATTTTGCAAAAATAGCGGAGGGATTCATCACCAAGTGGCTTCTCCAGGACATCACACCGCAGTTAGACTTGAACCAATTTGGGAACCGTCGAGGGCTATCTACTAATCATTATCTCATCAATATGCTCCATCTCCTGTATTCTAATGCTGAAACGCCAAAGTCAACATCCACACTAGTCCTCACCGACTTCACAAAAGCGTTCGACAGAATAGCCCATACGGTTGCAATCAGAAATCTGATCGATATGAAGGTCCGGCCTTAGTTAATCTATTGGATAACTGATATCTTGAACTGTCGACAGCAGTGCGTACAGTACCGTTCAACACTTTCCAACTGGAAAACCCTTCAAGCTGGTGTCCCACAAGGAACCAAGTTAGGACCAGTCATATTCCTTACTATGATAAACAGTATAAGGTCTGTGACTGCTGATGTCTCCATGTTCAAATACATGAATGACATGTCAATTGTCGAGTGTAGAAAATCCACGCAGCCATCCAATATTCAGCTATTACTCAATGAATTGGTGACTTGGTGCGAAGAGAAACAAATGAAACTGAACCCAGTGAAATGTGCGAGAATGGACTTCTCATTCATGCGTAACCCTCCTGACTACCCTACACTGTGTATCGGCGATCATCACCTGGAAACTGTAAATGACGCTAAAATTCTTGGTGTTATAATCCAAAATGATCTTAAGTGGCGCAAACAAATCCAAAGCATGACCAAGAAAGCGAATTGTAGAATTCACATGTTACGGCTTTTAAAACGTCATAGTCTCCCCATCAGTGATCTAATGACAATATACACTAGTTTCATTAGGCCTGTGACCGAATACGCTTCACCTGTGTGGAGTGGAGCACTCACCAAACATGATAAGTTAATCCTTGAAAGAATACAAAAAAGAGCCCTTCGTATCATAATGGGCAGTGAATATAGCACCTACAATGATGTCTTGTGTGAATGTAACCTGATGTCACTTGAGGAACGTAGGGAGTCACAGTCTGTTTCTTTTATTGATAAAACTCTCAAGACTACATCTCAATTTAGAAACCTCCTCCCCCCTGAACATACGCATAGGATGTCATCTAGGAGACCTAATCAGTATCCTGAGCCCCGTTGTAAATCAACGCGTATGCAGAAAAGTGCGCTCCCATACTTAATCAGTTTATTACTGAACAAGGCCAAAATTTCAAACTTGGATTAATTGAGGCTTTTTATTGTATAATATCCAATGTTTTTTTAATGTGCCTGTTTGTTTTCACGAAAATTGGATTCCGCCCCCCCTAAGATCTCGGCCATCGAGTGGCAAAAAATTTTGAAACTCGGCACCTGCATAGAGCAACTCTTCCTGAACATACCCCAGAAATTTCATGACTATAGGTCAAAGGGTTTTGGAATTATGGCTAATTAATTATTCATATGTACGAATGGCAATTCTGCTCTGTGTACACGACGTATATGCGAAAATTCAGTTGCGAAATATACACGACGTATATGCGAAAAAATTTTTGCTACGCGGCAACCCGTGGTCCGATTTCTATGTTTTTGGTATCAAAAGATGCGCAAAGCTCGAGGCTAAAAAGTCATAACAGCTCGGGTCGCGGACATTTTTTTTTTAGAGGCTATCACGGAAAATGTTGAGGGGGGGGGTGGATTCCGCCCGCGCCCCCCCCCCCCTCCCCCCCGGCCCCTTTAGGGTTAAGGAGACGTATTCATCTATAGAAATTGCTCCTTAGAGCTACTCATCTACTCCTTGGAGGGGAGAAGCAATTAGTGACACTTTTCTCTAGCTTTATCAAAGGAGCTGGGTGTTTTATTTTGAAAGTAACAAAATGAAAAAGCAGACTGATGTTTAGCTGTGGTTATCTTGATTATCAAAGTCTACTTGCTGGCAGCCTATGGGCAAGTTTGCGCAAGAACTATTGTTAGCCATAGTTTGACTAAGTTAGCTCGAACTCTGTTTAGTCGATAAAAGTTGGACTACGCTAGTCGGCTATTTGGAACCAGGCTACTGGCTTGGTAGCATCGCTAATTATCCATAGCCTCGTTTTGTAACTTAAGGTGCCACATCAACATAAACGTAGCAAGTTGTACTACCCACTGGCGGGAATCGGAGATATCTTCCAGTTCATTCAACAGGTCAAAGAATGTAAACAATCCAAACATACTCGTGACCGCCATATGTTGACAATGGTTCGACTAGAGTCGTTCACACTTTAATGTTACAGCACATGCGCACTGTTTGACACCAACCAACCATTGGTTGACTAATGGTTGTTGCGCAAACTTGCCCTATGCTGTGCCTCACTGATCAGTTGATTTCTTTTGTTCATGTGAGCTGCATGAGAGCTTACTCTGAAAATCGGATATCCAATATTCATTATGAAAGTAACTCGGTTATCCGGATTTTGAGATCAATGAGCTTTCCCATCACTAATCATGCTAATTTTCATTTCACGCACCGTAACTTACAACACCTAAAATGATCAGGTACTTGTTTTGTAAACTTGCAGATTTATGAACTGCTTCAATTGAGCTCATGAAATGTGTCATAACTTCTTGCCAAACGTAATTCTGTCGCAGGTCCATTGGGGCAGTTACATGCTAACGTATCAGTGACCAAACTAACATACATGACTAAACCATTAACAACAGTTACCTGTCTGGAATGCAGGACTTGTTTGGTGGCTGTAAGGAGGCCAGCTAGTTCCTTTAGAGTCACTTGGTGAATAGTGCTTCCCGTCAGCAGATACCTCAATGTGTCCTATAGTGATCAACGACATTAAAATCATGCTATTACATTTACTATCCTTGTAGACAATATTGTGGCGGGAACCCCCCGGGCCAACCCAAGTCTGTTAGGATAAGTCTGACTCCTAGTGGGGTGAAGACAATCTTCCCAAACCAAGGCTCTTCCCTAGACGAGAGATCACTCAGAGCGACCTTCAAGGCTAAGGGTGCAGGTCCGTTTTGGTGGAAATCTACCGCCCGATTATGAATAAGTGTTGATTATTTATCTCTGTTAATTAATTGCACAATAAACCTGTAAACACAAACACCGGAAGCAGAATTGTCGGTAATCTCAAACAACAATGATCGTAATTTATTCAACAATAATCAAGTACAACAATTATGATGTGATTCGGTGGGTTGTTTTATTAACAGGGTCCTTAGTTACTGGAGATAGCCCGCTGCTTGCCTATGCAACAACGAACACAGCATTAAGCACTAGACAACAATGGCAGCAATGAGCAACTATGCACAGCGCTAGGAATGAATCACTAAGTTAGCCAAACACAGCGTCACAAGCACACAACAGCCGCTTAGCAATGTATACAGTCCGTTAGCAGGGTACTCGCTACGCCGTGTGTGTAAGCCAGAATTCAGCCACACGTACCAGCGCAACCCCGGTACAGCTACACAGACTTTGTACACAAATCGCCTAAGCAATTATACACGCAGAGTACAAGTAATTTACCTACTTCTCTGCCCGCTGTCGCAGCTACGCTCTAGCCCGCTACCTCCAGACACCCGGAACTCAACACTCAAAACAGATGAGCCCCGATCTTAGCTAGACACACAACCAGTATCTCACCTAACAACGATTGTCACAACTGTATCAATCAGTCCCAACAATAACACCAGTGCGCGTTCTAAAACCAAACCGCTAAAACGCTACCAAAACCCAAACTTCTAAACTTCTAAAGCGCGCTCCCCAGGCACGCATTTATATACCAGGTACATGTAGACGCTACGTCATGTCTACAAACCATGTGCGTGTACTAATCCTATGGTGCGCTAAACTTATGGGGAATTATTGGCCAATCACGTACGCGCAGCAGCCCACGGAGCTCGTAAGCTCCGCCCGGTCACTGCACACAAGTGATTAAGCGTTAGTGCTATGGTATGACGTCACAACTAAACACTTTCCGCCACAATATCTACATTTCTTTAATATTTCTGAGATACTTGTATTTGTCAATATTAATGTTTGTTGTATGTTTCACCAATGTACTTTTCCTTATGAGTTTAACTTTACTTAACGTAATATAATCATTCGTAATGTATATAGGGCCCCAATGGAAACCAGGGCCCAATTTCATAGAGCTGCATGAGCATAAAATTTGCTTAAGCACAAAAAAAGTTTGCTTAATATAATCAGGTTACCCACCGAAACTCCATGCGATTGTTATGCTATTACAACAACTAAATACCAGTCACAAGCAATTTAGATCGCATGGCGTTTTGGTGGGTAACCTGATTATATTAAGCAAAGGTTTTTTGTGCTTAAGCAAACTTTATACTCTACGAAATTGGGCCCAGTTTTTAACTGTTTGGGCATACCCTGGGTAAAGAAAGGGAAATAAATAAATAATCAAATGGATGATTGTCAAAATTGGGCATTCAACATGGTGACAATACATCTTCTGAAAAATAATACTTTCAGAATGTGTTGACCCATGCATTGTTGTCAACAAGACATGGATAACCTTGTTTATCACTGTGGATAAGACTTCTTCAACTCCATTTTTTTTTTACTGCGTCTTTTCTTTTCTTTCCTGTCGTGTGATTGGATATTGGTGTTTTTGTTTCTTTTTTACTTTCAAAAATGAACGTCTGTTTCTATAATTGTGAGGATGGGAATTTGCATCATGCTCAGTTTCAAGGAATGATTTTATAGACTAACTCGAACAAGACTAAAAACATTTCAACCAAAACAATGTTCATGCTGGTTTACTAAAGCCATTTATTTTTGCTTTTTTATTTCTATAGTGACATCAATATCAACATGGTTGCATGTAATGTTTTTCTTAAAGCGACTGTATCATCATAGCTACGTTTACAAAAATGCATGTTCATTTTCTTTGAAATGGTGAGCAGGTATCTGGCATTGGAAAGGTCTCTACACAGTTTCGGTTTGTGGTAACACCATGTGGTAATAACTACTGCTTGGAAGATATTTAGTTCTAAAAAGAACTTGTCCTGCTTATCATCAACTTTTGCTAAGTAGTTTTAGTTCTGATAAGAACAGTCCTGCCTAAGTTGTAACAGAACTTGTCTTTGGTCTCTAAGGACTTAAAAAGCAGGACTGTTCTTATCAGAACTAAAACTACCTAGCGAAAGTTGATGATAAGCAGGACAAGTTCTTTTCAGAACTAAATATCGTCTAAGCAGTTGTTATTACCACATGGTGTCACCGCAAACTGAAACGATATCGATACTCCACCACGCAAAGCCTAAAATCTTACATCTCTACATAGCTCAAATAAAAATGAAACTTGTGTTCATATTCTTTGAACTGCTAAGAGTAATTACAGAGGTGGGACAATCTAAGATGGGAATTGTTTTATGTTTTTTATTCATTGTTGGGGGTTGGTCTTCAAGCAAAATGTGGGTGGCCTTTTGCATTCCGACATGTAGACTGAGGCAAGACTGGCCTTACCTTGTAGTGCTGCAGGATTGCTGAGGGAGGATACACGCCCCTATCATGGTGGATTGGAGGAGAGAATTTAGGCTTCTCCGTTGTCTCCTTCCTGGCTGCCCTGATTGCTCTGTCAACGCCAGTACTCAACTCCTGATGAATGGCGGCTACCACAGGAATACAAAGACATAATTGTTAAGATCTGAAACTGATATTAATGTGAATCAAATTAGGGTTTGCCCTTCACCGACGTTTAAACACTGTATACTCAGTGAGTTACCTCCCGAGTAAAAGTTGGAAAAAATCACTCGGGTGGGACTCGAACCCACGACCTCCTGCTTTCTAGTGCAGATGTCTTACCTCTCGACCACCGAGCTAACGGGATTGGTTGGCTGATTCGAATCTAATGTGCATAGCAGCGGGTACCGCATAAACTATTATAAGGTGGAATTTTGCGTCGGGGTGATATAAATCAAATTAGGTTTTGCCCTTCACCGACGTTTAAATACTGTATACTCAGTGTTACCTCCCGAGTGAAAGTTGAAAAAATCACCCGGGTGGGACTCGAACCCACGACCTCCTGCTTTCTAGTGCAGATGTCTTACCACTCGACCACCGAGCTAACAGGATTGGTTGGCTGGTTCGAATCTAATGTACATAGCAGCGGGTACCGCATAAACTATTATAAGATGTGATGTTTAATGTGATTCAGTGACGACATGATTTCATGCAGCCACTTAAGCAGTTAATATTGCGTGGCAAAATTAGGGTAAGCAGTATACATCAAATGACAGTTTAGCTGGCAAGCCGTTTCTGCTTAGCCAATTAACACTGTGCTTGGCGAATTTTTTGGGTCAGTAGCTCCATAGTAATATTGGTACTCAGTCTTACAACATAGACTCCGAATTTGAATCTTTCTTCAAATTAAAAATTAATGGAAAAATTACAGTTGAGTAAAGGCCAGTTTATACTGATGCCACTTTGTCACTCAACGATATTGATTTTTTTTTATTAATATGCAAAAATCAATATGCAACAGCCACACCATTTATTTGTGTGTATACATGAAGGTCCCTCTCAAATGACATCACTACCTACAGATTGCCACACGTATCGGCATTTTCCCGTATCGGTTGTGCCGCGCTGTATTTTGAAGAAACTTCGAGCAACGTGCCCGCGTGTTTAGAACATTTTGCACACTGCACGCACATGCACCTAATGGTGCTGAATACATAGTTGTAATATTCCCGCAAAGATGGCGTCTTATGAGAGGGGTCTATTTAAAAAAAGCATGCGACTATGTTATGCGACAAAGTCGCATCAGTGTAAATTGGCCTCAAAACTCACCTTGGATCTGTGTGTTGATCCACCGCGTGGCACGTTCCACGGCTAACCTTATGGTGATATAGGCTGCCGTTTCCAGGATTTGCTCAGACGATTCTTGGGGTAGGAGCAGAGTTAACGCGCCTCTACTTCTCCCAAAAATGAACCTTAAAAATAAACATCAAACAATATTAAACAAGTCAGGTGTGTTTACAAACACAAATGCCTTGACTGTTCCCATGACATGACACCACTCTTTTAACATCAACTTACATGAACCTGGGTCACGTGGAACGTTCATGTTACATGACATTGTTACTGTTTTCTATAGGACATATCAATTAACCCTAACTTCCTAGGGGTGTGCAAAATCGTGTTAAAATTGGAGGATTCAGGACTGTTAGAGTTCCCTGTGATCTTAGAATAAATATAATGTATTTTTTTTTGCTTTTCTGTTGGGAAGTCATTATATGTGATGCAAAAGAGTGAGTGATCAAACCAATCAACCAACAAACTTACCAAATCCGATAAAAACATAACCTCCTTGGGGGAAGTAATAATGATCTTCACCAAGTTGAAATCTGAATAAGACTGCACAGCGCTACTTTGCAGAGAACACAGATAATGAAGTCTATTTTCCGAGCAATTTAAGCTTTAGACAACATAACATAATCACAAGACATTTAGGTTTTTTTTAGCTAAGTTTCTCGACTCTTATTAGTCCTTATTAGTCCAATACCGTACGTACACTTACTCTTTAGCTTGCTGCACGGCTGCCTCCCTGGTTGCCACGGCAACCTCTTCACCCTGAACTTTGACTCGCCTCAAGAGGGCCCTCTTCATCTCATCTGTCCAGTTCTCGTCTGGCGCCCCGACTTCCTCGGACCTCACCTCTTGCTCCAGCAACCCCACGGCCTTGTCCCTGGCCGCCGAGACCAGCCTGGCGTCAATGTGCTTGATGCAGTTGGAGGCCAGTCGGGAACTGACGAAGTCCACCGTTTTCTTCAGAGACGGGGAGTGGTTGTCAAAGAAATTCTTCTCTAATTCGAGCTGCAAAGCATTAAAAAAAAATATGTAAGCAAGATAAACTGACAACCTGATTCTGTATTATGAGCATAGGCAATGTTTCTTCCTACTTCGTACATTTTATTGATTGCTATGGGCATTGACGATTTTTCCTCCACTTTGAGTCCATTAAACCTGAAACATAACGTCACGTTTTGTTTACATGCGTTTCCCGTGGGAGCTTGGTGGCTCTCGTCCTCATCTGGCCCCCATAAGAAAGCGCACATGTAAACAAAGCATAACGTCATTATGTCTCAGGTCTACTTACTTGCATAAAAGCACAGTGCGATACCTATCACGCGCACATGTAATTGTTTAAATGTAGTTGATTGAGATGTGGTCTATAAAATTGTCAAATAAAGAACGCTCCTACTGTTTTGTCTGTTTTTAACGGGAGCTCCACAGAATGTCCAATCATGAAAACGGAGATAATCTGTTTCTTACCCACTTCAGATTGTCATTCTAGGGTCAAACTAAACCAAAACGTATTGGGGCAAAACTTCATGCATTACTGTTCCATTGACTGGACTCTGGAGTAATTTGGAATGACTGCAACATGCAGTCGATCTTTCGACGTAGTTTCTCTTCACTGTTAACTGTGTTGAAGTTTTCACCCACTTAATTTGAATCTTCAGCATAATTTGGTTTGGCACTACTCTGGAATGCCAGTTTGAAATGGGTGTGAGCGTGTTATTAACAACAGGGTTCCCACAGAAATCTTAAGATGAAATTCCATGACTTTTCTAGGACTTTTCCAGGACAAAATTAGGGCTTTCCATGACCAATTCCTAAACTGTTTTGGCATTTTCGGAGCCTATTTACAATACACTGGACAGTCATCACACTGAGGCAAGGGACACCGCTCCCTTTCAGCTTTCCAGTTTGATACAAGTCCTGGGAATATCAACTTTCCAGCACTCCTTGAATTAAATTCCATGACTTTCCAACATAGCTTTAAACACCCAGATTTTATCCACGACCGTGGAACCCTGAAACAAGAATCTTATTATAAACAAACATGGATCAAGCATATTTCATGGTACATTAGCTATGCCATAACGAAAACAAATTTCAACTGAAAGATTTTACAAATAAAAAAAAAATATTTAAAACAATGAACAGAACTATCTCAGCCTTTGGGCCAAACCCCTTTTTTAATGACATAATAACAAAAATAATTCAACTTACCTGAAGTTGCTGAGTTGTCTGGATGGGCTGGGGCGGAGTTTTAGCCGCGATGGGTGTAATCTTCTTCATGGGCGTGGTCTTGGATCCAAAGCCGAGGGAGGCATCCGTTAACAAAACTCTGATGTCCCCTGCGACATTGGTCAAAGAAATTTGTTGTCTTAACTTCAAGTGTTGATTATTTAATGATGTTTGCAATCAATTGAGCAGTTTTAAGATTGCCGGCCCCGTTTCAGGGTTGCTAAAGAAGTAAATCAAATTAGGTTTTGCCCTTCACCGACGTTTAAACACTGTATACTCAGTGTGTTACCTCCCGAGTGAAAGTTGGAAAAAATCACTCGGGTGGGACTCGAGCCCACGACCTCCTGCTTTCTAGCGCAGACATCTTACCACTCGACCACCGAGCTAACGGGATCGGTTGGCTCGTTCGAATCTTCCATGCTAAAGAAGTAATCGCAATAAAACTATCTGGAATAAGTTGAAGAAAAGGTTATCTGCAATGGGCTCAATGTATCAGATGTTCAAGTGTTCAAGTTTTCAAGAAAAAACTCAAAATAGAAACTAAGTGGTATCTTACCCAGATAAGGGCAGCACAGGTATAATAACTGCTGGTCCACGAGATGTAGATCGTCAAGCAATTGGCTTGACACTATCCCCTGCGTCACAGTATCATCAAAGACGAAATCGTCTGCAAAACTCAAGAAATACATGGATGCTGGCACACCCGGAACCTTAAATAACAAACAAACAAACAAATAAATAAACGAAGAGAATAAGAAAGTTTGAGTATTAACTTCATATTTTGTGGAAATATTCACTTTCGTTGCAGATAACAGAACAGTATAATAAATTCATTTCATCTTCATCATTAATGTTTATGAAAATGGCAGAACAAAGTTGCTTTCAAAACCTTTTGCCACAGAAGGTATATATATAAAAACATCACAGTAATGTTTGAAAACTTCGATGCAGAAATCATGAATCATTCATGTGTATCTAAGGCTTTGCCTATTTCTTTCAATATTACGGAATCCATGTGCAAGTAATCCAAAATGGATGGTTAAAAGTATACCTGTTTTATACACAATTTTCTTCCGACAGTCACATTCATCAAATATTAAAGACTTTGTTTTCAAAACGCAATAAATGCCATTTTGTTGCCTTTTAGAATCGCGCCCTCTACTGGCAGCCAAAAATCAGCTTCTACGGCTGTTTTATAGTTAAAAGCAATTTTAAGAATACACTAAAATACAAGAATACAAGCACAAAAATGTAGTTTAAAACAGCTGTTTCACTGTGTATATCCCATAATTTTTTCAAAGCTATACAACTTTTTCACTTTTTTTCAATCGCATTTTGGAAATAAACTATACAAATATTATAGGTAAGCAGTTTTTAGAATGCATCTAGGTGCATTCTGTCGGAAATCTCTTCAGCACCCAGTTTCACTAACCGATGCGACGCGTCGCAACTCGAGCAACGACGTGTAACACGTCGCAACTCGCGACGCGCCGTACAATCCATTTCACGAAATATGCGATGAGTTCAACGTGTCGTAAGTTCCTTGACAAGGACTTAAAAAACGTCGCAAGTTACGACGTGTCTAGTGGTGATCGCAAAATAAGAAGAGTCCTTTTCTGAGCCAGTTTTATGCCATAAACATTACATAAACATTAAACGAGATTATAATAACGAGGCAATGTGTGTAAAGTTGTAAATAGAAAATTCATTGAATAATTATGGATTAGCCTGGCATATTGCAGTTGAAATTTCAAAGTAGCTTTACAGTCCACTGAGAGCTTGTTTTCCTTTAAAATTACATCACACAGCCGCCATTTTGATTTCATTTTCAACAAATTTTGAGCGGAGATCCGACAACTCTTTGTTGAATATCAGACGACCATTTACTGTACGCTGACTAAATACATAAAACAGTCACCAAGTTGTGCTATAAATACACCTACGACGCATCGCACTTACGATGTGTTTTGTGAAATGGATCGCGGGACGCGTCGCAGCTGCAACGCATTGTAGGGATATAACGCGTTGCAGCGCTGCGATGCATCGTAAGGTACAATGAGTTTCATGAAATCAAGTGCAGAGCAAAAGATTATGTATCAGATAAAGTCAAGAACTAAAAAAAGAAGAAAACAAGGTTTACCTCAAACAGCCATCCCAGTACAAGAAGAACCAGAAGCATGTTATAGCTGGATGCATCAGAGCTTAGCTTGACAGACACCTGCCTAAATATACGCAATCAATGAGTCAATTCATTACTTTTTGTTTTGTTTTTTGTTTGTTAGAGTTTTATATATTTAATTCCTTCATTTGTTTTTGGCTGCGGGAAAGCGGCTCTACAAGTACTCATGTCTCTTCGTGGTTGGTTGGCAGGTTGGTTAGTACCACACTTCACCAAATGCCTTTTTTGGCAATCAATCACCTTGTCCCTTAGGCCTTCGCAACATTACATGCTTCAGGTCTCCACTGACCAGAGCTACCAGTTTATTGCAGTCGTGAAAATTGGGTCACAAGGTCACTCATTTCGCATTGGGGCTAGCACTGTACTGCACACAAATTGGGTGTTCGACATGCTATGAAATGCTCCATGCACCAACTGACGTTCACTAAAATATTATACAAATAATGAATGTCTGTGAGTGCAATGGTAAGAATAATTGCATGAGGTGACAGATAAAATGTTCCATTCCACGAGGCGAAGCCAAGTGGAATGGAACATTTCATCTGTCACCGAATGAAATTATTCTTTCCATTGCACGAACGTGACACATTCATTATTTGTTTTATATAACACCTGAATAAATCCTTGTCATCTGATTGGTTGACTTTTACATGTAATAGCCAATTTATTCAGGTTAAAAACTGTTTAAAAGTTCGACAAGTTAATCATATTTTATTAATGCAAACTGTTCAACAGGTTGAGGACAATCATAGTCAATTTATCTCGATTTAAAACAGCGCCACCACCGGCAGCAGTGACACCGTGCAATGGAAGTTCTATTCACTGTGCAATGGAACTTCCATTGCACTGTGCGCTGCACGCCACGCGCATGCGGGTACGAATAATTCAATGACATGAGATCAACGATCCACCAATCAGATGACGGGGATTTATTCAGGTGTTGTATAAATGGGAATCCTTTACAATTGACAGTCACGACCACGTGAGTAGTTATAAGAACAACTTTTACATCATGTACACATATATATGACTTATAGGCTACAGCAGATCTACATGCAGTTGGGCCGCGCAGTTTCAGAGATCAATTCGAGCTCGATCATTAGGGCAATTTCAAAGTTTTGAAAGGAAATGTAATATCCATGACAAGGGCGGCAGTCTTTGTAAAGTCTCGGCTGAAATGCTTAAACAATATTTGAAACCACATTTAAACGTGGATTGCCGTGTAAACCCGCCTACACTCCCATCAGTCTTACCTGTACACCTGGACCAAGAGGCGGAGAAGCACTTGGAAAGATTCCAGCTGGGCTGCCATGGGGTCCATCATACTGAGATACTCCACTACCCAGGGTACGGTTATGACCAGTCGATGTTGACGACAGGCAACACGAAGGCTTTCCAAGATGTCAACCGGAGGGCAACACTGCACCCAAAACAAAAAATCCAAATTATCCGAAAATTCCTTAAAATTAACTTTCATTTATGGACTACATGCATGAATGCAGTAGATGGCACTTTGTGGCCAATTTTGAAAGCTGTAGCAGGAGGGAAACACTGCATGGTCTTACTGGTTTCACACGAGTATGGCGCGATGCACACATGACTTATTTATTCTGAAATTAGACAACCCCGTAGCGTCTTTGCGTGACTGTCAGGTGCCATCGGCAATTTGTTCAAATGTCCCTCTCAGTGGTCTCCCCTAACTCTCTTTTTGTAACCATTGAGGGGGTACTTGTGCAGGGAGTCCAAACCAAGAACTTTCCCAAATCGTGTAAAAACCACGAAACATAATCTTGTACTTAGGCTTTCAACGGGCATCAAGCCCTATGTCAAGTAATGGTGTCTAGGTTCTACCTTCCTCAATCTTTCAAAATCCTATGTTGGCTTTTGAAGCATTGCCCATTTCAAAGGGCAATTTCCTGCTGCTGCTGCGCATAAAAACAAACGCTCAAAAAAAAATGTAACCAACCTAATAATGCAGAGTCAATTTTGACAAGTCCTCAAGCAGTTTTTGTTCTTTTTCCTTATTCATTGTCTATCTAAAACAGATTTTCTGGTAGAATCGCTGAAGCCCAACCGCATGGAAATCTGGAAAATGGCAAGCTCCAAACCTGGTAAATGGCAATCAAGGAATAACTCACAGAGGATGTGGCTTGTCACGCTGCGACCTGGCTTTGATTCCCATATCCGGTCACATGTCCTGTGCCACGAGTTTTTTTGGGGGGTTCTACGGTTTTCCTCCCCCCACAAAAATTTCAATCTGGCTGTGCTCTGTGGTAAGACATGGGTCTTTTGGGTGGCTGCGATTATTAAAGGACAAGTAGCCCCCCCCCCCCCCGAAAAAATAAAATATATTACCTTGTTACGGAGTGCAATCACATCTCCTTGCACTGATTCTGGGAGAACGCTGCCTCCCTGGTACGGTAGAAAGACGAGGAAACCAAGAAACTTGGCAAGAATCCTGGCCGACTGCAGACTGCTGCTGAAGCTACTGCGAACCTCCTACAAGACAGAGAAAGAAACAGAGAACATTTCAAACATTAGTAGGCCTACTCAAGCCATGTAGTGACTTTTCACTATAGATACTTTACACTACTATATCATGGTACATACACCTACAAGAATACTTATGTCCATGTAATATGCATCAAGTTTGAGAGGGATGATACAATGTAGTTGATATAAAACACTCCTCAAAATTCAATGCACATCCCCTGCCATAACTTATACACAGGATAGTCACCAACAGTCAGATCATATTAAGGTACTGTGGTTAGTTAAATTCCATCAACAGACAAATGCAGGTAACTGGTAAGTCCAGCTGGCTTATCGATCTCCTACAATTAACGCATAGTTGTCAGTGACGGATTCAGCAGTTATGGAATGGGGGGGAGGGGAGGGCCGAAAATGTTGGCAAAACCCGAAAATGTATACAGTCGACTCTCGTTAGTACAAACTCTGTTAATACAAAATTCTGGTTTTAACAAACATAAAGCCTTGGTCCCAACTGTGCATTTATATGCACAATGAATGGGACTGATGTTCCTCTTAATACAAAATTCTGATATAACAAACAATTTGGCTAGGTCCGAACGAGTTTGTTATAACGAGACTCGACTGTACAAGCAGGGCATATATTGGCTCATGTGGGTGAAAAGTTCTGGTCTTCCGAGTGATTAAATAACCCGATAACAGCAGAAGAAACAGGAAAAATCTGCAAGACATACACATACAGTCACAGCCAGACAATCCTACTTTTTGTAGACAGGGAGCACTCAACTGTTAGAAACGACACTCAATTGATTTTGACAGCTGGGATGGATTGTCAAATTTGAAAGCCAGAGAGGGAGGGTTTTAAATATTTTCTTTATTAATTAACTGTTTACGTAACTGATTTTTTTGTGTTTCCAGTTATTTTCATTAAAAACGATGTAAGTGTATTGGCAATTTGGAATAATCCTAGTATCAATTCCAAATACCGTATGTGGGAAGTCAATATGCAGAGCAATATGTAAAACCCTTTAAAACAGGAAACTTTCTAAACAGAATTTATTTACACTGCCATTTAAACAAGCAAACTGTGTCTAACTTGTTTTGTATAATGAAGTTTTTTAGTTTTTGGATGGATGTTGACAACTTACATCATCTACAGCATTTGATTCTTGGTCACCTTCCTGGTCCGTCAAACCAAACTGCAGTTCATTTAGCTATTAGATGAAAATAAAAATGCAAAGAAATGTTCAAAGCCCAAAATCATGATACAATTGTCTGCTGTGATGTAGTCCATGGCATTTTGTACAAAAACTCGATCTACAACAGAGAAAACTTGTTTCATTTTACATGTACCAGATCCGCAGATTCCATTAGGTTGTCATACATGAACTTTTGCAATATGTCACATGAACAGTTCTCAATATATAAACTTTCACATTCTATTACCATGGTATAACAATCTCATTTGAGGTCTTGCAATATTTAAGATGTGCTTCTTGTTAAATAAATTCCAACAGGTGAACACATGCAGTGATTAAAAACATCAGTTGCATTAAACAAAGAGTTAAAGACAGCCAACTGCAAACTAACATAATGTGGCGGGGATCTCCCCGGGCCAAACCTAAGTTCATTGGGACCAAGTCTGACACCTATTAGAGCGTAGCTGATCTTCCCGTACCCAAGCTTTCCCAAGACGAGAGACCAATCAGAGCGACCTCAAGGCTTAGGGAGCAGGTCCGTTTTGGAGGAAATATACCGCCGATTATGATAATTGTGATTACCCTCTGTTAATTACACAATAAACCAACAACAAATACACCTGGACAACAGGAATGTCGGCACCACAAATATATATAATCATACTTTATTATACAATAATCAATTGAAGTAGTAATTGAGTCTTAATGAGGTTGTTAATTATCAGGGTCACTTAATTACATTTGGGAGTCAGCTAACAGCTCACCTAAGCAGCAACTAACGCGCACAGCTTGAACAATGCGCCCAATGTAAACAATGCACTGCTAAGTTAACAATGTACACTAATGTAAACAATGCACTGCTAAGTTAACAATGTACACTAATGTAAACAATGCACTGCTAAGTCAACAATGTACACCTATGTAAACAATGTACAACAATGTCAGTAATACACACCAATGTAAGTAATACACACCAATGTAAGTAGCACACGCCAATGTAAGTAACGTACGCCAATGTAAGTAGTGTACGCCAATGTAAATAACACATGCCAATGTAAGTAGTGTATCCCAATGTAAATAACACACGCCAATGTAAGTAGTGTACCCCAATGTAAATAACACATGCCAATGTAAGTAATGCACGCCAATGTAAGTAAATACACGCTGTTCAGCCTTAACCTGATTTACGCTTTACCCATGCAAGCTAGCGTCAGCATGCACAACACAACTTCAGCACAGTCAGGGCTAGCACCTTTACACAGACCGCGTCAGCATTACCAAAAACACAGAGCGCGAGCACTACACGACCTTACCGTCCGCTGTCCACAACACAACTCCTCCGCGCGAACACGTCGAATAGCCCTCACGTGAACATGCATACGCTGTACAAACACATATGTGCAAAACCTATGGGCCATTGACAACCAATAGCGTACGTGCATTCAGTCACTGAGCGCTTACGCTCCGCCCAGTCACTAACACACCATGAATTAACCTAATTGCAATAGGAATGACGTTGGAAATAAACTAGCTATAAGTCCCTACACTTTCTGTTACATTGGCCCGAGCGTGGTGGGGTATGGCCTCATACTCCATAACCATAATAAAACAAATAAAAGGAAAGTGTACCTAAACCTTAACTTCCTCTTATAATTCAATATAAAACATAAGGTTTAACTTTCCCTTTAAAATTCAATATAAAACATAAGACTTAACTTTTTCTTAATAATTCAATATAAAACATAAGGGGGGGGCTGATTTCAAAGCATTAAATATTTACTAGATTTTGTACACAGTGTAAAGGGCACAAGAACACCAAAATTTACCTCATTAAATATTCACAAAATTTAACAGGGAAAGATTATACAGAATCTGAATCAAATTTCGCTCATTAAATATGCACAAGAATTTTACAGAAAATGTACACAGCATTTTACACACATTCATCAGAAGAAATTTTAAGATAAACTTTAGACAGAAATTTGTGGGCGGATTTTAAGTATATGTATATGCCTATATGTGCGGGAAAAATGGGACATTAAAAACTAAATCGGTTACTCACGTTACGAAAATGTAATGTGAGTAACTGATTTTGTGTGTCTTGTTTATCATACATATCACATTTTTCTGGATGTAATCTTTGGTGCTTAGGTAGGTCTAGGTCTACTCTATCTACCATGGGGATAACAGTTATTAAACCTTTTCAGTAAGGTAATTACAGCCCAAGGAAACTCAAAAGTACATCACAATTGTAACGTGAGTAACCGTGGAATTGCCCACATGGTGATTTTCAGCTTCACTTCCCGGTGGGCAGTCCATGTCTACCCGATTTCCTTCCTTCTTCACAATTGCTCCATCAAGGAAGATCTGCTCCAAGGAGAACTCCGTTACTGCCGCCGTCTTCATTCTCTTCTTGGGGGCAGGGGAGGCAACCTTGTTGGACATGAGACTTGCCACATCATCCTCCAAGGAAGGCATCGGCGATGCAATGCTCGTGTAGGGGGATGTATCTTGGGCATCCCGCATCATTTTTAGCATTCCTCTTGGTTTGCCTCCAGACTGATTGTAGGGCAAAACCGAGATTTCAGGGGATGAGGGGAGTTTGAGCAAGGGGGAAAGCGGTGTGGGGGACAGTGACAAAACTGCCGCGTCTCCCACCTCATCCCTAAAGGCAGCTCTCTCTGGGATTTTCAGCGGAGGACTTGCCCTACTTACGGTGACCTTGGGAGATGACTGGCTCCCGATAACCTCCAAGGATGCTACACTACGTGGGATGATTTTTTTCATCGCAGGGGTCTTTATGGATCTGTCATCAACTCCAGCACTCTCCACTGGGTGGCACGTTGCCATGTGGCGCTGCAGAGTGTCTACTTGCCCTGCCCGGTAGGAGCACTTGCTGTTGCGCAGCGTGTTCTCCGACTTGTGCACATCTTTTATGTGCTGCCACAAGCTTTGTCGGTGGATATACCATGTGGTGCACTATCGGCATTTGAAACGCCTACACTTAGAACCACCACAGCCTTTTTGTTACTGCATATTCTGAGGAAAAGAACAGAAATGATCATTATCAACAACTAATCAACTTCGGCTATGTACAAACACCTTTCAGGGTCGGGTCGCCACTAGAACACTTATCTATACCGCAAGGGTAGTTGATGGGTTCTTTTGGGGTATCGTCTGGGCGGTGACTATTCTTGCTGCCCCGACTGATTGGCTTGACTTTCAGACCCTGACTCGTCTGCAATGGCGTCTTGCATTACAGGAGCATTATCTTCGACTTCGCAGGCCAACTCTTCAGATGAGTTCTTGTCATCTGGAACTGTTGTCAGTTCTTTGGGGAGGTTTTTAGCAACCTCATACCTGGACTGACCTTCCCAGTTGTTTGGATTGACACATGGTTTGAGTCTGTCCACATGGGCAACTTTGGGCTTGCCTCCTTGTTTATAGGCTGGATATGAACGGTTACATCTGATAGCTTTTTCAGAATCAACCATGGCCCTGCCCACCTAAACTGGAGTTTGGGGGTCTTGTGCCTCTTCTTTGCTGGGTTGTGAAGCCACACTAGTTTGCCTTCCATTAACCCATGATTGGGTGCCTTTCTGTCAAAGTTCTTCTTTTGCCTTCGGGCACTTTTCCCGAGAAAGAGAGTCTCTCTGGCTCTTTTGTGAGCCTCTTGCATGTTACTTAACAGTCTTTCTGCAAAGTCTCGCATAGGGTCAATTAGCATCGCCACGATGTTGACCCAGGTATTTTTTAAACCTCTCAACAATGCCATCCGATTTCGGATTATAGGCGGTTGTTTGAGTGTTTGATATGCCTGAAATTTGGCACATCTCGCAGATTATACCTGACTCAAAGTTGGTGCCCTAATCGGAGTGGAGTTCTTGTGGAACCCCAAACCGACACACTATTTCGTTTACCAACTTACGCACGACTGTGATTGCAGAAGCGTCAGGAAGTGCGAATGCTTCCATCCACTTGGTGCAGTAGTCGCCAACCACCAACACCCATCGGTTACCATTGTCCGTTGTGGGCAATGGCCAGAGCAAGTCTATTGCTACTTGCTCCATTGGCACTCCAACTCTGTACTGCTGTAAAGGTGCCAGCCTTCTCTTAGCAGCCGACTTCCTCCTGGCACAGACATTGCAGCCTTGGAGGATGGACCGCACGCCTGCAGGCATGCCTGGCCAGAAGTACCTAGCTTTCACTTTGGCCAGAGTTTTACTGACCCCTAAGTGACCACTAAGCTGCCCACCATGCAACTCAGCCATAATTCCCTTGCGGACCCTTGGTGGCAACACCAATAGCCACCGGATGGACTTTCCGTTGTCGGAGTCCCACCGTTTATGCAGAACTCCCTCACGGACCTCCAACTGGTCCCACTGCGACCAATAGGTCTGGCATGCTGCTGATAAGTGGGAAATTGTCTTCCACTGGGGTGACTTTTACCCTCTTCCTTTGACCTTATCAGCCAACTCACAGTGTCATCCTCCAACTGTGCTTCTCTTAAAGCAACTTGTGACAGGGTTGGTTGGGCAGCTACGCCCTATAAACCAAGAACTCACTCCCCTGAGGTTTACACTCGGGTACTTCACCAGTTGTCTCATATTCTTCATCACGGCCGCACTGTTTGCATGGCCGTCTGGACATCCCGTCAGCATTTCCATGCTTCTTTCCGCTTCTGTGCTCTACAACCAAGTTGTATTGAGACAGGACTTCAATCCACCTTGCCAGCTGACCCTCTGGGTTCTTAAAATTAAGTACCCACCGCAATGTGGCATGGTCAGTTCTGACGGTCACTTTTCGGCCATACAGGTATTGTTTGAAATACTTCAAATATACCACCACAGCCAACAACTCTTTGCGAGTGACACAGTAGTTTCGCTCAGGTTTGCTGAGCTTCCGCCTTGCATAAGCAAGCACCTTCTTGTCACCATCTTGGGCCTGGGATAGCACCGCCCCGATACCGTCATCACAGGCATCGGTGTCCAAGATAAAGTTACCCTCAGGCACTG